ATATTGTCATATATGTGATAGAGGTTTAGTAACCCAAATTTGTGGTAATTCGAGGTAGCGACACAACAAGTGGCCTGCTGCTGGTTATTACTAAACTATGGTAAAACGACGACTAAAAGGCCAAATCCAGTGCTTAATGGTATTCACTCTCACTGAGTCCACCGACTCAATGCTGGAAACACAAATTCAAAGTCTGCATACTGGAAATCTGAAGACGACGAATAAGCAAACAATTATTTTTTGCTGTGGAATAATGCGGCTAAAGGAAGAGAAACTCCACTACACTGAATATGAAATGTTTGAATTGCACGTGGACAGGCAGCCTGGAAGGCAAAGGTCTGACACAATTACGCTCCCTCATGCAGCTGCGTCTAGCTAACACCAAAGGCTTTAAGCCGATAACCCAGATGATTCTGGTAATGTAAACAGCTTACGACAATATACCATCCCTACAGCTTATCAACCTTATTAACACACTTCTGCTGGCACAAACAATAGTATAGTTGAAACGGCGCACTCCAATATGTACTATAAATTCAAAATGCGGCTGATAGGCTGATTTCAAAAAGCTACTGTCGATCTTGACAGACAGTTGCTGCGAATTCCCAACACCACCTCCTTCATAAAAGGTCTTGTTAAAGGTACCCACGAAGCACTGGCTCAAAACCCCAGGTAAAATCTACGACTTACAAAACTTAGAGGTTTCTTTTAAAACCCAATCCATAAGACTTCGTTTAGACCGCTGTAGCATTTAGAAATGAGCATCTGCCATCGATCACAACAGTTTTTCAAATACAAATCTGACTGCCCTCGGGAACCTTTCCTTGTTGCAGCCCTACAAGCTATGAAACAGCATGAGGCTCAATATGCAAACCGGCGGAACTGGCTCACGAGCTGCTACTGTAGTACTCCGGTCGGGAAAAAATTTAGAAAACATGCAATCGGCATAAAAAAAATTTTTTTGTTTTTGTGTACGCTATGCAGTTAATTACTGAAACAGGTGAGGAGCACAGAACGGGTCGCAATACGGACGATTTTTCTCCGTAAAAAAAAAAATCTTGGAAAGAACAAACTCAGCGGTGGTTCCTAGGATCATTCTCACAGGCTCTCCACTGAAGCGTGTTATTAAAACCACAAACCCTATCTATTTTCTTTATCTCAACGACCCTGCTTCCATCTATGAATAACGATTTACAGCCGACAATCCGCGCATTTTGATGAATAAGTTCTGAAATCAGAGTGACTTACGAAAAAGTTTCATGCTTTCTGGCAAAGTCACGATGTCCTTGGAATTTGGATCGCCACGACCAGCATTTGTGCTCCCATAGACGATGAATCGGTATCTGCGATCACTTTCCAAATTGGTAATCTTCAAGAAGCGTTCGTTCGGCTTTGTTTGTCTGTAATATTCAGTGATTTA